CACCCATAAAATATTTGTCAGCTCACATATTTTAAGGTAAAAGATTTTTTTTTATTCAAGATGAGCATGGTTCTAAAACATGAGTCAAGTTGGGCGGGTTGGATTATGACCCATTGTTTAGCCCATCTTAACCCAAATACACTTTGGGCTAGATTGGGCAATAACTCATTTATTGACCTAACCCATCTTGACCCGTTCAATTTCAGCCCAACCCGCCCATTTGCCACTCCTACTAGGGTCTTATATATATCTGTGTAGGTGAGAAAAGATCCATGCATCTATGAGCTCATACTTCTGCCCTTTGACCTTCATTTAGTTTAGAGTAGATTTAATTTATATTCACTAACAGTAATTTATATTCACTAACAGTAACAGTGAAGTAAAATGTACTTACATAGTACTATCAATGCAATTTACTCGCGCGATCGTAAATATTACTGTATGTCTTATTTTTTAGATCACCAATTCTACTTATTATGGATTATTTATGTATGTAAATATGCTAGTAGTAGATTCTTTACTTAGCTAACTGGTGCAACTGCAGAAGTAATTGCAGAAAAAAAAAAAGACAACAAAAAAGGAAAACGAGCTCATAGGCATACTAAATGGAGAACATGATGGGTGATAAAGTTGTAATTACTCCTTCATTGTTAGTTAGAGCTTTTGAGTTTGAGTCTTAATCCCGGATATAAAATTGTTTTTGTTAGAGAACATTTTACCCTTATTTTCTAGCGCGAATCCAAATTTATTTAGGCCCAAATACAGAGGCGGAGCTCGCATATTAGGTGCGGATTCGGCCGAACACAATTACTTTTGCTTAAACACTATATTTGTATTAAGAAATTTATTAAATATGTAAAAATATTTAATTGTTAACCCAATAACTAAGACGAACTATGGGTTCCAAAACAAATTCAAAAATCATACACTTTAAATCCTAGCTCCGCTTCTACTCGAATGCGAATATCGATTACGAAATGAAAAACAAAGAAAATGAGAACACGAAGTGGTAGTAAACTATTAGTAGTAAATAGGAGTAACAGATTCAGATGTCGGTACATGAACCGTACAACTAGGAACAAGGCAACTGTTCTTTCTTCTTTTAAAAATATTTTTCCGTTATAAAATAAAGTTCTAACTATAGAGATCGGGCCAGCTTATCCATGACTAGGAGTGTCAAACGGGCGAGTCGGATCGGATATGGTTTGGGTCGAAAACGGATAATGAAAAAACGGATCAATTATCCGATCCGACCCATATTTAATACGGATAAAAAACAGGTTAATCGGCGGATAATATAGGTAACCATATTATCCATGAATTCTTGCATATGATCACTTTTGGGAGAATTCTTAGTCCCCCTAACTTGAGAACCCCAATTTGAGGCTTTACAAATGTAAAAGTTAGACCCATTGGTTATCCATTGGTTACTCATTGGTTATCCATTTTCTGAATGAACAATATGATTCTTTTCATATTTGACCCATTTTTAAAAAGTTCATTATCCAACCCATTTTTTAGTGGATAATATGAGTAGTTAACTGTTTTCTTTTAACCATTTTACCACCCTTACCCGTGACTAATTTTTTTTGGTACCTATTATCTTTTATCAGCATAGATATTGAATAACTTGTTCATAAAAACTTAGGAAAAAATTATCTAACATTTTTCCCTTTGCTGAATTTTAAATATGAGATTGTATAATTTTTAACCCTCGTTATTAGATAGTCACTAATCCACTTGGGTGCATAAAAGAGAGTAAAATATTGACAAGAAGAAGAAAGATGAACGAAGTTAAGGGGTACTGGCCACGACACATGATATCTTTACAAGTCCCTACCTCCAGATTTTTCATTGATAACTACGTTTTTCACCCAAAATTTTGTTACCAAAACAATGTCGTCATTTCATTTCTATAGTAGGAAATTTTAATAACAACATACAATCCTCCCTTCCCGCTTAAACCTTCTTTTTTTTTTCTTCGGTGTTCAGTATCCATATTGAAGCCCGATTAAGTTCGAATTCGCACCAGAAAGCTCCACATTAGGGTGAAATGCTTTCTAACAAAGACAACTTTATACTCAGGAACTCAAATCCGAGACCTCTGGTTAAGGATGAAGAAGTACTTAACACTTCACCACAACCCTTGTTGGTACGTAGACTTAGACCTTACGCCAGAGAAAAACTGAAGCTTACATTTAAACAAGTGTATCTCTTCTCTTTACAAAATCTAATACACAAGTTGAAGTAATCCGAATTAATTAAAGATCTTGAAAAAACTATTAGCGTAAACCCATAAATTAAAGGGTGCATACTGTCCCCACCTGAACTCTAAAACCTTAGACTACAGGCATAATAGAGTGACACAATCTTAATAATTTGGGAATCTAAAGCCTTTATTTTTTAATCAATTAATTTAAGTAAAAAACTTTGTCCTGGTTCAGACGTTGAGATTGAAAAGGTTGTTGGTAAAAAATACTTTTTCTTTTAACGAATTCTACGCAATGTGAATCTGGATTAACCGTGATGGGTTGATTTCGAACACCAAATAATTACAATTTTTATACACTGACAATCTAAATAATTTTACACTATCAAATCATCTTACATAAAACAGTTTATAACAAGGTATGCTACTGTAAAAGTTAATAATCTAACAGTTAAGATATATAAATTCTTACAACAATTTAAAATACTCTGTAAAAAAGGAACGATATTGTATACTCTCTGTTTCAATTTAGAGGACACACTTTTTTTATTAGCCTATTTTAAAAGAATGACATATTTCTACAATTGGAAATAATGCAATTTTAAACTATTTATTTTATTCATTTTACCCTTAATGAAAAACTTTTATAATCACACAAAAGTCATGTTCCTATAAAGCTTTTACCCCTTAAACTTTTAAAATTACAAATTTCAAAAAATAATTCTTAAATTTCATACTAAATTAAATTACTTTATCTAAATTGAAACGGATGGAGTAATAAGTTGTAAAAGACTATAATGTGTGTCTCTTTCAAGTCAATAACCTCACGCTTGCGTTNTGTTCTTTTCATCTTCATTCTTCTCTTTTCACTTTCTAAAACCATTGATTCTCATTTGTCTTCCCAAAGAAGAAGAAACAACACATAAAACACAAAAGATGGCAGCAGCTACAATTTCTACCATCTCAATGATCGACTCCAACAAAATGGAAGTTGACAAACTCACGTACGAAATATTTTCCATTCTTGAAAACAAATTCCTCTTTGGTTACAATGACCCAACACTTTCTCCTACATGCAAACAAAACTGTACTAATACGTTAACACCCTTTGCCGGAACAAAAACTGTCGCCGCCGGAAAAATCAGAATTCTCTCAATTGACGGCGGTGGCTCCACTAATGGCATTCTAGCAGCAAAATCTTTAGCCCATTTGGAAGCAACCCTTCGTTGTAAAACCGGAAATAAAAACACCCACATTGCCGATTTCTTCGATGTTGTCGCCGGCTCCGGCGCCGGTGGTGTCCTCGCCGGTCTTCTTTTCACGCGTGGGAAAGATGGGATTCCGATGTTTACTGCTGAGGAAGCTCTTAAATTCCTTCTTGAGAGTGATAGGAAAATTTCACGGTGTTCTAACCGTGGATTTTTCCGGCGTGTTTTCCGGCCGGCGAAGGTGTTTGATAAATTATTCAGCGGTTTAACTTTAAAAGATACGGTTAAGTCGGTTTTAATCCCCTGCTACGATCTAACTACGAGATCACCGTTTGTATTTTCGCGGGCTGATGCGTTGGAGATGGACGGTTGTGATTTTAAGTTGGCGGACGTTTGTGAGGCCACAGTGGCTGATCTTTCGGTGGAAGTGAAGTCAATTGATGGAAGAAGGAAGATCACAGCCGTTGGTGGTGGGGTTACGATGAATAATCCAACGGCTGCAGCTATCACTCATGTACTTAACAATAAACAAGAGTTTCCCTTTGCTAATGGAGTTGAAGATTTGTTAGTGGTTTCTTTGGGTAATGGAGAATCAGATTCCGGTACCGGAAATGTGATGTTATCCCCGGCGGCATTTGTTAAGATTGCCGGAGATGGAGCTGCCGATATGGTAAGCTTATCTTTTTTATTTATGCAAAATATGTTAAATATTTTTAAACAAAGAAAAAAAAGTTGAATAATTTATAATATTTAAAATTGCTTTCGTTAGAATAGTTCGTAAGTATGAAAGTTGGTACTTTGGATTTAATGAGTTTTATTTCTAAGAATTCTTCCTTTTTTGGGCATGGGACCTCGTATGTATTACTCAGAGGCAACAAAACGAAAAGTTGTACATATTAAATAGTCCACAAGTTAATTTTGATTAAATAGTGCACCTAACGATATAGTAGTATATTAAGAACTTTAATTTGGAATCTTAACTAAATAATCGAACAATAAATTTTCCATCTTTATTAACTGATAGAAAAAGTAAAATATATTTACTTTATCTACACAAATTATTGGACTAAGACTAATGTTGTAACCCTATAAAAAATGCAGGTAGATCAAGCTGTATCAATGGCATTTGGACAATTTAGAAACAGTAACTATGTTAGAGTACAGGGAAATGGAATTGTTGGGAAAAAACACGAATCGACGAGCAAGACAGTAGCCATATCTGAAGAAATGCTAAAGCAGAAGAATGTGGAATCTGTGTTATTTCAAGGGAAGAAATTGGTGGAATACACAAATTTGGATAAGTTGGAAATATTTGCTGGTGAATTAATCAAAGAGCAAAAAAGTAGGAAAACTACAATATTACCCCCAGTCATGTTGAAACAGGCATCACCATCTCCTAGAACTTCATCTGCAACAACTTCATCCACCATTTCCTCATGTTAATAATCTAGCTCAAGATTTTAAAAAATAAGGGGAGAAAATTAATTAACGTAAAGTAAAGAAGACCTATGTATCATGATCATATATTAGACCTATGTTCCATTATTATTAATTAGGTTAGAATATTATAGCGAGGTAATTAAGGTAGGGTGGGTTAAGTTGAATTAATGTTGAAGTATGGGTTTGAAGCCACTCGTGAATATTTCAGACATCCGAGTTTGAGCTGAGCTGCCTGCTAAAATAGCCTGAGAATTTTTTTTCTAGTTTTTTTTTTTATCTTGAGGTTGATTTGTAGTGAAATGTATGTAGGGTTGAATCTTGATGAATGTGTGTATGTATGTGATGTTAATATTATAAATGTATTGCTTGTTAGAGCAATGAGAAGCACTTGGTAATTTGTAAATGTTATGTTACCAACACTAGCTAGTTGCTTTTAATGATCATTTATCCCGATTGTTTTGTGTGTTAACTTGCTAACTTTAACTCCCTTCGCTCGAATCAAACATACAACAATAACTACGTCTCAATGATGAGAATTAGTTCAGTTCAGATAGGAAGGAGTAACATCTTTTCCATATAAAAAGATTTACAAATTTTACAGTAAAAGGTTTGAAGGAAGCATTGACTAGGTTACATCTTATTTATTGATCTAATTATGTTAGTATTCTATATTTACTGTCCCCACTGCAATTTAATATGCTAATGACTTTAATAATTGTTGTGTTTATGACGCTTTGAACTAATAATGCAGCTACTCCAGGATTCATGCATGGCTATCATTCACCGAAAATTCTTAAAGAAATATATCGTAGAGTCGGATTATAATTTTTTTGAGACTGAAATATCAAAGGGCAGCACCATCATCACTACAGCAAGAGGAGAGGAAATAGTACATTAGTCAAGACGGTAAGGGTGGCAAGTGGGCGGCCCGGGCCCGCGGATTAAGTGGGCCGGGACCGGTAGGACCGCTAGAGATGAGCTTGGGCCGATTTTTGTCAGGGAACCATTTGGCCCGCCAAGGGACCGGGCCGGTCCCTGGCAGGCCAAGCGGGCCCGATGGTAAATTTTTTAATAAAAAAATCTAGTTGTTTGGCTATTTAAAAATAGACAATGAATTAATGAATTCTCTCTATTCTAATAATTATAATACTATTGATGAAAATGATGATGAGGAAATTGATTTTGATTAAACTCAACCGGATGATGATACACCCACTAGATCTGCTTCTAATGTTAATCCAACTAGTGATAACGTTGCTAATCCAAATGATGATCCATCTGATACTCCTGATACTGCCCCTGCTTTTTCTAGACGACCTACCAAACGGCTAGAAATATCTCATGTTTGACCATTTTTTACTCAACTAGTTCAACAAAATAAGGCTAAGTGTAAAACTTGTGGTATGGAGTTAGCTTTTAATGGTTTAGCGCTTGAAGATGATGAATTTCCTAAACTTCCGGAAGCAATAGCATCAATTAGAATAAATGCTCAAACTATTTATAATTCGTATAGAGTTGCATAAATCATGCTAGACCAAATGTTCCAACTCCATCTTCTTCTGATTCTCAAACTTCTAAAACAACTGCAGGAGTAAAAGGACTTAGTGCTTGGGCTGGGTTTAGGGATTCTTTTGGTTCTAGTATAATAATTTTTCACAACTAAATAAGCTTGAAGTTTATTTGTCGCAGCAACTTGAGGAAGTGAATCCCGACGACTCCTTTAATATTTTGCAATGGTGGAAGGACAAAGAAAAACACTTTCCGGTTCTTTCAAGGATGGCCTGAGACATTTTACATACTCAAGCTTCAACAGTGGCATCGGAGTGCGCTTTCAGTCAAGCAAGACTTCAAATAGGTAATTATAGAGCATCTATGAGGGAGAGCTTGAAAAAATCAATACTTTTCAGAGATTGGATCCGTTCGGAAAGAAGAAATTTTGGACTTGCTGAATCACACCAGAGGAAGACGAAGCTTACAAAAATCCTAGTTGAACTTGCTGAGGATGTTGCTTCGCCCGACAAAGCGATGACCGAGCTACTTTTCCACCACCACCAACAGAAATTCCTCCGAACCTTGAAGGATTTATGAAGTTTGTAAAAGATACCATGTAACTTGTATGAACAAAAATTAGTATTTATTATGTAATTTGTATTTTGGCACATCTTGATTAGTTTCTTTTTCTTCTCAATAGTGGTATTAGCACCTTGTTGTGCTCATTCCATTGGGGGGAGAAAGACAAAGAAAGATATTGCCATATTTTTTTAATGCTATAATAAAAGTACAAGGCATTGTTTTGAATATCTTTTTACAATATTTTTGTCTTTAAATTTGAATTAAAAAATTAGGTCACAATTCTATAATAAATTTACAAGGCATTGCCTTAGATATTTTTTTTTAACATCTTTTTGACTCTAATTTCTATTTAATTTTTTAAAAAATCACTATTTAGTCGTTGAGCACACTCAGCCCACTTAGCTCGCGGGCCCGGTCCGTTTAGCTCAGGACCATGAGTTTGTGGGTCCGGTCCCGGACCAGTTCCTACAAAAAGACCATTTAGCCTGGGATCGCTAAGCCCTTTTATTTAAGGATCGGGACCGCGGCCCATAAGACCAGCCCACTTGGCCTAATTAGGGCTCGGATCGGCCCACTTGCCACCCCTAGTCAAGAGTCATCATACTTCTGTATAACATAAATATACAGAGAGATTTAAAATATATACACACGGGTAGTGGTGAAGATTTTCTAGACTGACTCCGTAGATTTAACCTATTGTTCCAAATTAGTTAACATGTTTATTAGATTACTACTACTTAATGTTTAACATAGAGATTTATCCGTTTTAATTACTAATAGTATAAATTATTTTTTACAACATCAAATACATTGCCTTTTCTAAACTAGGACTTACCTTGTTTAGGTATTCATTGGTAAGTGCATGCATTAACATAAATGGCGGCAATACAAAAGTGTCTAAACTATAACAACTGAGTCAAAATAGATTATCCAAATTACAGGAATAGCAGGACACTTGTTACCATCCCAAGGTAAGGAATAACCAGTTATGTCAAAATGCCGAGGCATTTGCATCTATACCCATTTTTTTTGTCACGTTTTAACTTGTACCCGCTTTGCAAAAAAATATCAAGCGTACCCATTTTTTCGCGTAACTTCAACATACAGACCTAAAGTAGCAAAGGTAATCACGCAAACTTCAGCATTCTAGTAGACGGGCCTGAAGTGTGCTGAATTTTTTGTTTGTAATTGTTGAAGATGCTGTAGTTATTTAGTTCATTTGTAAAAACTTCAGCACTAAATAAGCTGAAGTTTTTTTGTCTTGGACTCATTAGTTTTGTCATTAAGCTTTTTCAAAAACTTCAGCAGAAGAGCTGAAATTATTTAGTTCATTTGTAAAAACTACAGCACTAAATAAGCTGAAGTTTTTTTGTCATGGATTCACTAGCTTTTTCAAAAACTTCAGCAGAAATGCTGAAGTTATTTAGTTCATTTGTAAAAACTTCAGCACTATATAAGCTGAAGTTTTTGAAAAAGCTTTCTAACATACTAGATAAATAATCACCTTATTCTTTCATAGTGTATTATTACTATAAAATAATCAAATTGCCAACAATATCTAAATCGTCAATTTTGAAAACTATTAACGCGAACATAACAGAATTATCACGAAAAGAATCACTAAGTGTGACCTTAAACTTCACGTACGTGAAAATATTTACAAATTATTGTCTACTAACTTATGTAATTATTCATAATTTATTTTTAAATAATCTGATAAACATACTTATGGCAATCATCCCATGAACTGAAGTTTCATAGCAGCACCAACAGCACAAAAGAAAGAAGAAGAAGAAAATGAAGGAGGAAGAGAAAGGGGACTGAAGTAGTTTAAAAAGTGGGTACAAGTTCAAACTTTTTTAAAAAATGGATATAAATGGTCGCCCCGTGCAATTATTACTTTTTTGGCTCACTGGGAATAATGAAATTGGCTACCTTATTGCAGGGGACCAGCACTCAAAAGCTTAAAAAAGGTCGGGGTGCCCGGGGGGAGGAGCAAGGGCAGGACATCTCTTTTGATTTCTCCCATAGAAAAGCCTAACATGCAGCAAGAATGGATATATTATGGAATAAATACACCCTTCCAATTTTAAGGTACAAATATGTTAAGCAATCCACCATTTCTTAGCCTTAATTGCCAAAACTAAAATATTATGTCGTTGACGCAATTGGTGTTACTAGCCAAAGCTTGCAGGGCCCTAACTCATCCGTTTCTTTCGCATTACACAGTTGTACAACACAACACAATGATTTTTACATGAAGAAAAAATGAGGACTGACTTGACAAGGCAATCCCCAACAGGACCAGCTGAATTCATCCTCCATCTCTCATCAATTACAAGACACTACAATAATTGACAACTCGGCAGTCCATGTCAGCAGACAGTTCGACCATAGCAGATTGATGCAATGTAAAGATTTTTAGACCATTTTTCCTGCAAAATGAGAATTTGCAATGTTGAAACTACAAAGGGAAAAGATTTAAAAGAGTACATGCATAACTAATATGCAAATTGCATTCCGCCAACTCCTGTCAGTTGAAGCTTCATTATTACAAACATTTGTTTCATATAATTTTCACAGCGTTCAAGAATTCAAATTCATTTTTAAAAACTTTGATGTGATAATTTCTCTATCAAACTAGCTTTTTAACCATTACTTTGATATTTCTCCCACGACTAGTACAATAACCAAGCAACAAAAACAACTTAAATTCCATTTCCAGTCAAGGAAACATCATAGAAACTGGATCACAACGAGTAGTTTGTAAATTCCCATCACAACTTGAACCTGTCAGATTTAAGGAAAATGCAAGGCAAACAGGTAACATTCAGGATTAAGGAAAAGACTAGTTACCTTAACATGGGTACTTGGGAAGGCAGATGTCCGTAAAGTCTCTTGAGTCTCATCAATCATTTTACGTCTTGGTACGCTCAATATGAAGGCTGCTTGATCGGCAGTGGCAGCCATAGAAGTTATTCTATAACCACTTTCCCACCGTCGATGTATTCCTTCACTTGGGTAAAGGAAGTCAAGCTCAACAACCTACATGGTTATCTGCTTTAAGCCACTATTGTTGAGGAAAGTAAGAAATGGAAGTAACGACTGAGTAAAAACTAATCACCTGTTCTGAATATCCAGAATTTCGGGACATGACCACACCCCAGCGACTGCCAGCAGTGGTCATGGATGTGACATGGAAACCTTCTTTCCACTTTTTGTTTATCCATTTGAAAGGGAAAGATTCACTCACTTTGTAAGACTGTTGTGTATATGGAGTTCCTGACCATCAAACACCAAGAGAAATTAATAGATTGTTCATAGGACCAT